CACCTTTCCATGGATATGATCAAAGCGGCTTACAAAGAGTTAAAACAGATACTTGTAGTAGTCCACAGCCCAACTTATCACAGGCAGCTTTGCTTTGAATCATGTGCACAGGCTTGAGGATACAATCTTTTAGTCCCCACATCTTCTTGGAACTAGGCCAGATACCTGGCTGAGACATCTAGTAACATGAATCTGGTAAACAGGTCACACAACACCTGTGCCTCCATCACAAGCCAAGGAAAAGGAGAGAAACTGCTGGCATTTTAATGTGCCCTGCAGGCAAATCTGTGGCTCACTCAAGCATATGTCTGCAAGGAAACATACCATCTAATCCCTTGGTTGGAACCTGAGCTGGAGGAGATTTTGATGCCTTGGCCAGAAGAGGATCCAAGTGCTTGGTATCTGGAGGGAGGGATTCAGGTCTGAAGTCTCCAGAACAGAACTTGACCATGTTTTTCCCCAGTCCTCCATTCACTTCAGATATAGCTGCAACACCAAAAACAGTCTTTGTTACAATAATCTCGGCATGATAAGCACCCAAGTCACTGAGTTTTAAGAATCTTATTTGAAGCTGATGCTAAATTATAACTGGCTGGCATTTTGCTTGTTACAATATAATAAACTCCAACTGTGAATTTACCACACACACAATTATGAATATGCAAATTATACTAGCTGTGCACAACTAAAGATGGAAGCTAATTACATTCAAACCATATTCAACATAGTATCTTCCCTCTTGGCAATGCCTAGGAAACTTTCTGCCTTTTAAAAGTACTTTTTTCTCTCATGCTAGTAACTTTCCCAATTGTAAAGCAAGGTATGTGTGCACACACAAATACCAGAGCAGACTACCCACTGTAGCAAGACTACGTGTGCACAAATCTACCCATGGTGCATGAGAGAGGATACTTTATGAATATATTCTACAACAGGGATCCTTTTGGGTGGCTAATATCACTACAACAATATCAGATATTATGGCTATTTTTAAAAAGTTGACCCTGTTTCATTTATTTATTTACTTCAGGCATCTATACATCATGTTTCAGATATTAATCTCCAGAAGCTATTTGATAAAGATTGAAATGATATGGTATCAATAAAGATAAACACAATAATGCAGGCAAGTCTTTCAGTAAGTATCTTAATACCTAAACAGGCTCATAGGGAATAGTCAAGTATCCAGGTCCTAAGCCATTTTATTTTTGGGGAATTTTACATATTCAATGTTTCAAATTATTTTGTTGTACATACTCCTGGGGCATTTTACTGAAGGACACATAGAATTCGTACAAATAAATAAAAAGAAAATATATTGCACTACTAGTGCCAGACCAAAGCTAAATATTGACAGGAGGACTAGTGTTCAAAATGACCCTTAGTGCACATTTACCCTGCTATATGTGCCATTTCTATTTCCAGTCCATAGTGGGTCCCTCCACAACTCCTAGTCCACACAGAAGGATGAATCATAGAGAACTGCTCCCTTCTTCTGGCATTGATGGAAAAACTGTACGCATTGACACTGCTTTGATATAAACCTTTCTATAATAAATCTTCCAATTTAATAAGTGAAAACATTGGTATAACATGGTTTTGTTACAGACCTTCAGTTGGTTATCTGAGAAAGCAAGTAGCTTTCAGGTACTTCCTCTTGGTGATTTCACAACCTTCTAACAATAATGGAGTTTTGCCTTGAGGGCAGCAGCAGAAAGAATCACAGCAGAGGCAGTTTCAAACATTCCAGAACCTGCAGGGACCATCCCCTTACAATGATACACTGCCAAAATTTGCCAACACAGATTCAGAAATAAAAATCCCACCCTCCTCCAATGGTAAAAAGTTTGTATGTGAAGCACATGGCATGTATTAAGAGAACTGTGCTTCCAGAGAGCAATCCTCCAATTAAGGAAAGTCATGTTTCCCCCACACACTTTATTTTATAGTGGTTGTGTTTTACCACACCCATGCTGCCAAATTCAATGGAAACAAGCAGTGGTGCATGCAAAACTTGGTTAAGGGACTAGATCTTGCTCATCCCTGGCCTAAAGGGATCATAATCATATACAAGAGTCCCACCTGCTGAAAGCTCCCCACCAAAGATGATGGCTTTTGCCCCAGAGGTTTTCACGCAGTAAGTCAGTGAATCAAGACGCAAGTTGAAGTTGATGAGGGCAGCCTCTATGCCCACTTTTGCCATTCCTAGCCAGAAGCCCACAAACTCAGGTCGACTCTCCATAAAGATAGCAATGACGTCACCAACGCGAAACCCCTGCTGGTAGAAGAAGTTGGCTACCGCGTTGGAATACTCATCCAAACGCTGGAACGTCCATTTGTCATCAGTAGCTTCATAGATCAAGGCCACTTTGTCAGGATGTCTGCGGACCACATCTTGAAATATCTTGGGGACATTGCTCTTGGCTTTCCGGTGAAAGTATAATTTATATTTGACCTGTAGAAGCACTGACAGCCCCCTGCAATGATAAGAGGAAAATCTTAGTTAATTTAGCACAGAAATTAATGCTCCCAAATCTAAGAGGAAAAGGGACACCATATCAGGATATAAGTGTGACTACATTTTCATGTTCCATAAAGTCTGACTTTATGAGTACCTTATTTTCCTGCGTATAAGGCTACTTTTTAACCTGAAAAATCTGTGGTTAAAGTGGGGGGTCGTCTTATACGCCGGGTATAAGGATAAGGAGGACAGGGGTGCTAAACCTCTATATTTTGACTGGAAAAATGGGGGGTCGTCTTATACGCGGGGTCATCTTATATGCCGGAAAATACGGTATACTGCTTCAAGAGCTTATGATGTTGTGACAGACTTAGGGGCGAAAAGGCAGCCCTAAAGGAGTGGCTTGCTGCTGCCGCTTTGCTCGCCAGGTTGGGGCGACGGCAACCGCATGCCACACCCCCAACCAGGTATTTTCCTAGCGCAAAAAGAAGTGGCAAAAAGCCACTTCTTTTTGCATCAGGAAAAAGGCACCTTTGCAGCAGTGTTTTTTCCAGGTGTCTGCGGTGCAGCATATGTAAACGCTGCACTGCAGAAACTCCGTGAAGCCACCACATGTGCCATGTGACTTCCTGGTGGCATGGGGATGTGCTGCTGTCTGAACGCCATGCTCCCACACCACTGGGAAGTTGGTTCTTTTTACTGTACTGGCCCTTACACCGAGGATTATGTCTACTCAGTGTTAAAGCTATTGTTGGTATATCTGAATACACTTGTTTGTACATCTGTAAACAAAGTAAATTTTACAAAGGACGCCACATGTACTGGAGGGAAATAAAGCTCAAAATAAACTTTGTAAGCAGTGTGTGCATGTGTTGTGTTTCTTCAAGTCAGTTCCAAGTTATGGAAATCTGAAGGTGAACCTATCATGGGGTTTTCTTGGCAAGATTAGTTTAGAGCAGGGGTAGGCAACCTTTCCCCTTTAAGGGCCGAGGGACTTCAGCTCCCAGAAGCCTCAGCCATGTTGACCAATAGTCCCATGTTGGCCAATAGCTCCTAGGATTCTGGGAGCTGAAGTCCCTTGGCCCTTAAAGGGGAAAGGTTGCCTACCCCTGGTTTAGAGGAGGTTTGTCATTGCCTTCCCCTGGGGCTAATTGCCCAAGGCCACCCAGAGGGCTTAGCAGGGAATCGAACTCTGATTTGCAGATTTGTAATCCAACACTCAAACCATTATGCCACACTGGCTCCTTTGTAACTGAACTGTATGCTAATTATTCTGCATCAAGTTGCTCAAGTTGTAGGCTACATTCTTAATTATATGTTTTAAGTTGCAATCTAGAAAGTTTTCAATCAAATACAGTACAGTAAAGGAGGGAGAAATACATCTAAAAAGGGGACAGGAGAAAAGACTATTACAAGAGATTATAATAGAAGAGAGAGCTCTAAAACTCCATCCTGCCACATTTGCCACCCAAAAACTTTGTGCCTATAATACTGAGTGAGGGGGAATCTTCTTCAACAGTAAGGCTGAAAATTGCTTTTTAGGAATCCAAATTCTTCATGGAGGGCCACTGCAGACTGACAGAAATAGTGCAAATTGAGTCCACTTTAACTGCCCTGACTCAGTGCTAGGGAATCATGGGAACTGTAGTTTATTGTAGTACCAGAGCTCTCTGACAGAGAAGGCTCAATGTCTCATAAAAAATACAATTCCCATGATTCCCTAGCACTGAACCAGGGCAGTTAAAGTGGACTCAATTTGCACTATTTCTAGCAGTCTGAAAAGGCCCTAAGTTCTTTATAAAGTTAGGACACAAGAATTACCGTATTTTTCAGCATATAAGACGCTCCGGCATATAAGACG